GCAGCCTTTAAAGTATTTAATTTTTAATTCAAAAGACATAAATGAACATGTACAAGAACATGTTCCACATCTAGTACAAGAAAATGTACATGAAACCTGCACAAAAAAATATGTACAAGAACATGTACATTTTCTTGTACAAGTATATTTTCTTGTACAGGATCTTGTACAAGTTCTGGTACAAGAACATGTCTCAATTCCGGATGCTGAACTTGTTCAAGAACATTACTTGAACATGTACAAGAAAATATACAAGTTCATTAATGAACATGTACAAGAATTTGTACATTTTCTTGTACAAGTTTTTTCAGCCGGGACGGTAACTCGATCCTTTTCGCAGGTAAATTTCCCAGTTCCATTTCAGTACCAAAATGCACCAAATTAGTACTGAGTTAGTACTGAGCCCTCAGTTCCATTTTTCCAGTACCAATCCAGTACCACTCTTCCGGCAGGGTATAGGGCTCGTTGGATGCGGAATAACGTCAGCTTTCAAGTGGTACCTTCAGGATAGCATTAACTTTAATTATTTGTGAAATATTCCATTTTTTATTAACATAAAAAATACACATTTTTAGCTTTCAAAAAAAAGTAAATAAATAAAATAAAAAAGACCGAACTTAAAAAAAAAGTTATGATTATGTTTCAAGTTATATCAATAAGATACAAGAAAAAAGAACCGTTTTTTAAGCATTGTTTTAATAATTTCAATAAACCTATTTTTGACGATAAAAGCAGCAAATAGAAATAGTCGAAATCCTATTCCCTTTAAGGGGGGTTTAAAGTTAAAACACTACTTTTATGTATCGAAAACTTAACGGTAAAAATTTTAATTTTGGTTGAGATTTATGACCTGTAGGCTGCACGGCGCAAAATTAAAGATGCAACTTCAAACGCCTGTAACGCCGCCATTTTGTAATATTTTTTAAAAATTATTTTATTCTATCAAAATGTTTATCAAAATTATTATGTTTAGAGGTGAATTAAAAATGTCAAATAGAGATGGTAAAATCGAAATCGATTATAAGCAAAAATCGAATAGTAGGTGTCGATTAATCGAATAATAGAAATCGATTAGTAAGATATACTAATCGACAAAAAAGCGTGGCAAGTTTTGGAAATACATTTTGGCTCACAACATGAGCGGTTAATCGTCCCTGCCACAATCAGATTCTACAACGTCCGTCAAATGTCTATTAACGACTTTAATGGTTAAACCAGTTAAACTAAGAAGACAAGTGAATGATAACAAAGCTTTTACCAATGTTTTACCACAGTGGTGTTTGCCAAAATTTTTAGGCAAGTATATTCTTAAATACATATAAAAACTTTCGAGAAAAATATACACTAATAAAATTTAAACTTAAAAATAATAGGTTATCGGAATCATGATACATGCACTTTATTATTAAAATTGGTTACTAGAAACAAGAAATTATGAAAAAAAATCAGTCAATTTTTTCAGATTTTTTTTTTTCGAATATTAACTAAATAATTTTATACTTTTCAGATTTATTATAAAAAATTATTAAATGTTAATAATTTAATTTTATAATTGTTTGTTGAAATAAATGCTTTCTTAATGATAAATTATGAATTTATTTATTGAAAATTTTTTCGTTAACGCAATTTTTTACCTATTTATGGATTTAAAAAAATCGAATAAAGTCGAATATATTCGAATTTTAGTGTCGATTAATCGACTTCTTTTTACTGTTCTAGAAGATTCGATCGATTAATCGATATTCGATTACTTCATTTCGATTCCCATCCCTAATGTCAAATTTGCTGTGGAAGCTAATTTTGACAGATTTTACGGAAAACATATGTTACCTTTTGTAGGTTTTTTTTGTTAGACATTAAAAAGCACATTTTAATGACTTTTAATCAAAAATTTACACTGTAATGCAATTTTTTAAAAAATTGAAGAAGTAAATTTATTGAGTTTCCGGAGATAGTGTTTCTTGCGTCAGGAAAGTCGACCGTACTTGGGCTGTTCTCCTGACAGAAAAACACATCTACGCAGATATGTTATTTAAAAAGGATTCACTGCAATTTCGCACTTAATTTTTAAACATATCTACAGTTTCGCATATTTGGAATAAAAAATGTTAATTTTTTTTGCATAATAAAATTCAGCATACTCAAATTAGTAAAAAAGCGTCATTACATTTCTAAAAAACATTATGCGAAAGAAAGTACAGATAAAAACAGGTTTTCTCGAATATCTCGAAATGCCGCAAAATGTAGATACTGTCTTTTTAAATCAGAATGGCACTATTCCGGTGGAAAATTTCAGTTTGGAAATTATTGTTAGTTTATTCTAATTTTATGTTTAAGTACAAAATAAATACTAAATAAAAATCTTATAAAATTAATTTTAATTAACCCTAGAAGTAGTAACTGGGGTGTCTAGACACCCCAAACAACATTCAAAGTATTTTCTTGACTTAACCATTCATTATTCGCGACGGAATCATAACGATAATTCAATTTGTACATCTGACAGTTGATATACGGTAGTGCGAGCGAAATTATTGCTCCAGGAAAAGCTCTGTATCAAATTAAAATACGTGTACGGTATATTTACACCCAAGTTACCCCTTCCGAAGTAGCACGAAATATTACAGTAATATTACAGCAATTTTATCCGGTAACATTGCAGTAATATTACAATAATATTAAAATGTCCGCCTCATGGTAATATTACCGGATAATGTTACTGTAATATTACACGGTAATATTAAAGCATTATAACTGTAATATTACAGTAACATAACAGTAATATTACAGTAACATTACAGTAATATTATACCGTAATACTAAGGTAATAATATACGAGAATATTGCAGTAATATTAGAAGAATATTTTTTCACGAAAAAAATGTACCCAACCGGGGAATCGAACCCCGAACTCAAGGCACACAAATCCAGAGTTTTACAAACAAGCGACACTGACTTACAATATATTTATAATTGTGATGCTTTATGAGTAACTCAAATCAATCTGTAATATTACTCGGTAATATCACCATCAGGCGGACATTTTAATATCAAATTTTCAATAATGACCACATTTTATTTTATAATTCTAGAAAATAGCAACAAATTACAAATTTGATGCGAATCCCTTGATTAGGGGATGTCATCTTTTGGGAATATATTTTTTAGTTTGTCTTAAATGTATTGCATTTCTTTCGAATTTTTTATCATTATCATAAAAATCGTCATAATACTGGTTTTTTATCCTAATATACGTTTTTTATTCGAATTTCACGGTTTTCGTGGACAATTTCGAAATACAAAACAAACATTTTAATATAATAGAAGATATTTGAAAAATTTTGAAATAACGATAACTTTTAAAAAAGTTGTAAATTCAGATGTACATTACATGAACATTTTGCTTCCTCTTTACGATCAGCAAAAAAGTTGCTTCCTCGTGGAGAAAACATTAACATTCAAATAAACATACATAAATAATATAATAATATAAACATTTGAGTACCTATACATTTGAGTTAAATTAAAAGAATTAATGGAAGTTAAAAAACCAAAAATTCGCATTTTAGATGATATTTCTAAAAATTAATGAAAAATAATATATAATTTATAATTATTTACAATTATATCGATTTGTTTCAATGCAAGGAACACTATTATTTTATATTTAAACTTGAATTTAAATAAATACAAAAATTTTCAGCTAAAATGTGAATTTTTTATTTTTTAACTTTCATTAATTTATTAAATTTACCTCAAATGTAAACTTGATATATACTAATCGATTCGTTTTCATGCAAGGGATACAATTAATTATTTTCAATACCAAAATTCAGAAGGCAGCGCTACAAATAATCAGCAGCGCCTTTCAAGTAACATATTATTTGAAAAAATTAATTAATATCACAAATTAATTTTTATTTAATGTAAATATTTTTCATAAACAAACAAAGGCAGACAAATAATTATAACAGCATATTTATAATATAATATAATAATAAAATATCTATTATTATGTTATTATTATATAAAAATAAACATCGGTTGTAAATATTTTTTACATTTTTATATTTATTTCTTAACCGTTACATTAAACGTAAAAACGTAACGAAATTTTATAAATTCAGTACGTATCATATGGTTAAACTTCACCCGAGCGAGCGAGGAATACGTCGCTAGTATTATAGTAATATTACGTGCTATTTGGGTTAACGTTACAAAATTGCCAAATAGGCAAATTTAAATTTTATGCAAAATCTTTTTTAATCAGTTCAAATCATCTAGTAGACTAAAAATTTATAGATTAAACATGAGAATAAGTTGAATTTTATAAAAAATACATTTTTACACAAAATATATATTGTTAGAAAAAATAAAAAAATTTTATTTATAACTTCATATGAAATTTTAATGTGAAATTTATTTTTGCAATACAATAGGTAAAAAAGACAATCATAACCTAACTTTTTATAGAAAATGACTTCACGGTACAAAACCCGCAGCATAACGGCTGTGCAAAATAAAATTTTAGCGTCAATTTTAAGTAATTGATTAAGTCAATTTTATAAATTATAAATATTATTGATAATAACATAATCACATATATTATATACATATTCAATTTGTAAAATTTTATATTTATAACATCTTCTTAAAAAAAGACAAATTTTGCAAATTTTTCGGTTTTTTTTCGTTTTTGCAAGTTTTTTCAACTTTTTTTTATTTTATCAAAAAATCAGGTAAATTATTTTTTTTCTTACTAAAAAACCAATAAAAATCACTATATATAATTAGTTTTATGTCAAATAGAAACCTTTTTACAGAAGTTTCAAGTTGGGGGTGTCTAGACACCACAGTTACCCTTTAGAGGGTGAGAAAATTCAGTTACTCCTAGGGTTAATTCAAAAAAGACAAGATGCTCAAAATTCTTCGTCCGTGTAATAAATAGTCCCCAATTTAATTTTTTATAAGCAATTAGATATCACGAATATAATACCTACAAGCATTCAATTTGTCAGAAAAATGTTGACTTTATTTTTTCTCTTTCAAAATTAGAATCAACTTAAATGGAAATTTCTTCTGAAATCAACTTAACGGAACTTAAGAGGAACACGTGACAGAAGGTTATAAACACTAAACTATATACATATATAATCAATGACCTGGAATCAGGTCTTGTCTGGAATGCGGATTCTCATTGTGAGTTGCGTGCCGAGAGAGATTGGTGATGATAGACTATCTGTCTCTTTTTTCCATATAAGCTGACATATACGGAAGCCTGTACGGCTCACGAACGTCTCGGACGCAAGTGGCGGTGTTTCGTACCACAAGTGGCACGAAGTCCGTCCAACTTGTGGCAAGTTCGTTAGTTCGTGCCACTTGTGGAAAGTGGATTTTTCGAAGGGTCATTCACAGTGATGGGTACGTATAATACATGACGTATAATACGTGGTTTTCTACGTGTATAATACTACGTATATTACGTGCCAAGTTTTCTACACGATATATATTACATTTGATCACGTGATTTAAGAGCGGCAATTTTAAATTCTTTATTAAAATACATCATTCATTACTGTGCGATTCCAGGTGAGATTTTGACTTTTTCGGAGTAGGTTAACCGATTGCAATGAAACTTTGGAATTTTGTTATATATAGTAAGACTAATCTTTAACGTAAATTTCAGCTTAAAATATTTGTTAGTTTACGAGATTTGCAATAATAACAAAAAAATTTAAACTGCTATATCTTCCGTTCTAATAATCGGATTGAGGTCTACTTTTTTTTAAAATGTCAAGGAAAATGAGAGGAATAGATCTCTTTCAGAACAATTTTTTATAATTTTACAACTAAAAAAATTATTAAATAATAATTGAATAAATTTCACGCGACAATCTAAAATTCAATCACTTAAACGCTAAAATGATCTTATCAGTGTTTTCTTTAATGTTCCAAAGGAATCCAATTGTAAATGCAAGTTTAACTTATTTAATTTTAATAATTTACGAGTATAAACAATTGAAAGTTGTTAATATAAACAAAATTTAGGTAATTATTAATTATTTAAATAATTATAAAACAAAATTTTTAATTATTGAAATGTTTTTATATCGGTTTTATTTCTAAGTTGGTTTCACAGATAAGAGTGAACACCGGGCCACGTGCATAATAACATAACCTATATTCTAAGTATTATATTGTCAGTCTAGTCGTTTGGTATCTCCCAAAATAAACAATTTTTAAATCAAAACTTTATAAACAATAACAAAGCTCTTTAAAAAATGATCAAGAAAAATTCGTTATGGCAAAAATCAGAGGATCATATATAGATGTCAAAATGTCAGTGGTTTTCTACATGGTTTTATACATTTTATACGTATATTACGTCGAAAACGTATTATACGTACAAAACTTCGTGTGACGCGTCACAACCCATCACTGGTCATTCACAAATATGACAATTCCGTTGGATCCTGTTGTTATCTACTTCGTCAGTGCTTTTCATTTCAATTTCATGTGAAGAAGAAGAAATGAATTTTATTAGATATTAGTAATATTAGCATATTAATTCACACATAAATACTCCTTCCAAACGTAAATATACATATTACTAAACTAAAGATTCCACTAAGAATTAAGCGGAAGTTTTTTCTTAGTTTTTAAAATTTTTTTTAGTTTAGAATAAAAATAAATTTTTTTGGTTATGTTGTCATATTTTAATTTTAAATACATGAAGAGAATTTTATTTTTTAAAATCAAAAGTATATTTTTATGAATATTTAAGATTAATAAAGATGTCAATATCATTTGTTTACACTGAAATGTAATCTATTACATGTATTTTCAATTAAAAAATAACAAATTCATTTTTATTCAAAAACATTAAACGGACTTGCCCGGATGAAATTATACTTGAAATGAAAAGCACTGATCACGAAATAGACGGCAACAGAATCCAACGGAATTGTCATATTTGTGAATGACCCAAGAAGACTAGAATAAGGAGGTCTAACTCAGGTAGTGGGGGTACGTAAAGAATTGGTTTTCGAGGTAGGCCGAAAGGCAGAGTGTGCGGTAGACTTCTGCGCACACCAATACATATACATTTTTGTTGCCTTGTCAAGAATTACTGAAACTTGTATGTATTGGTATGCGCAGAAGTCTACCGCACACTCTGCCTTTCTCGAAAATCCGCCTACTGCAACTACCAATTTCATACGTATACTTACCATACCCCCACTACCTGAGTTAGACCTCCTTATTCTAGTCTTCTTGGAATGACCCATCAAAAAATCCACTTTATACAAGTGGCACGGAGTCCTGTCCAACAAGTGGCACGAACTAACGAACTTGCCACAAGTTGGACGGACTTCGTGCCACTTGTGGTACGAAACACCGCCACTTGCGTCCGAGATGCTCGTGAGCCGTACAGGCTTCCGTAGATATAGGCCTATGCAGAATTAAGTCATTTACGGACACGAGTAAAGGAGGGCATGAGATAGTCTCTGTCCATTTCTATCTCTTGCTTCCCGTACTTGCATTCGTGACCGGATTTATTTTGCTTAGTATGGAACCAATAAGGCGCTTGTATACCTCACCGATCCCGAGTATACTTCCGTCGTGTATCATTGGAGTAAAAGAAACACAATTATCTGTTATCTCTTTTACTCCAATGCTGCACGACATAATACTCGGGATCGGTGAGGTATACAAGCGCCTATAGGAACCTAAGAGCATTCGTAAACGTAGACGTATGACGTCACCAACGCTAAACTACATTTGGCTGTGTCAGTTCATCGAGATATTTCGAGTTCAAGCTATGACGTCAGAGGCCTTGAGGGACAACAAACAGACGACACAATGTTATTCTTATGGGGAAGAAAATTTGTTTCCACTTTCAATGCCCGTGAAGTTAGCACCACAACTTAATGAAAATCAATTTTTTTTTATTTTAAACGTTTGTTGGTCGTTTGATAGTGTTTGATAGTTGATATTTAACGTTTGATAGTAATATTTAGAAAAAATAAACATAAATCAAATTTTGGTGTGCTATTTTCACAGTGCACCCCAAATTCAAAAAAATACTAATTTTTCATTTGTAAACGTTTGTTGGTTGTTTGATAGAGATTGATAGTCAATTCTGAACGTTTGATAGTTGAAATAATAATAAATATAAACATTATCAAAAACATCTATCCATGTCGCATCCCTCCATATGCGCATGCGCAAAACATACTTTCGCGGCATTTTCAAAAAACAGAAACAAATTTTCATCTTCGATTTTAGAAACAAAATGTAATACTTCAAATTTTTATTCATATATCATACAATTAAATACTCTCCTTTCAAAAATTGAATAATTGTCAAATTTTAATTCCAATCGTTTGTAGGCAGTTTAATATTGATTAATGGTAGACTAATATCGTTTGATAGTGATTGATAGTTCATTATTTTCGTTTGATAGAGATTTAAAATTGACTAAAATCATTTGATAGTAATTGATAGTTGATTATTTTCCTTTGATAGTGATTTATAATTGATAATTATAGTTCAATAGAGATTTATAATTGACTAAAATCGTTTGATAGTGATTGATAGTTGATTCTTATTGTTTGATAGCGACTAAAATCGTTTGATAGTGATTGATAGTTAATTATTATCGTTTGTTAGTGAATAATAATTGGCTGAAATCGTTTGATAGTTAATTATTATTGGCTAATATCGTTTGATAGTGATTTATAGTTAATTATTGTCGTTTAATAGTGACTTATAATTGACTAAAATCGTTTGTTAGTGAATAATAATTGCCCTTCTAGAAAAAATCGATTGAAAACGATTGAAAACAATAGGAAAGAAATTTCTATTGTCCCCAATCGTGTTTCTTAATCGTGTTCTTACAATTGAAGACGATTGACTTTCTTATTATATTCAATCGTTTTCAATCGTGTTCTATAGATTGTATTCCATGCACTATTGCTTGGTGGGAGTTTTTGAAAATTTTAAAAAATGCAACTAATTAAACAGTCTAGAAATATATAATTATTTCAAAGATTATTTTCCGAACTACAAAATTAAAATATTTATCAATGTATTTGTCACCACAGAAGAAAATCATATATTTTAACAAAAATTAATTAAAAGTTATTTTTTAATTTATCTATGAATGAAACTGCACAAGACGAAATGTTTCTCATTTATAATTTATCGAAAAAATGTTTAAAAAATAATTTTTGACAGATACATCAAGTATTGTTTTAAATTGAATTACTTAAATTTTTTTTTAATTTCAGTCAATATTGAATTTTTTTAAATAATCGAACATTGGAAGATCTACAATAATTATAAGATTCATTAGAAATAATTAAATTTCTGGTGATTTTAAATTGAAAATTTTGAAAATATTTTAATGAATGAAAAACTTTATACAAATGTAACGGCTTTAACATCCGTTTCTAGCACAAAATAAGTTTGTAAAGAATTTTAATTTAAAATTTTTAGAAAAAATTTATATTTCGAAGAGTTGCAATCAAAGTTTTTAATAAAAAATATTTTTTTTTTAAATTTATGATAAAATTTTCAAAAAGTATTAGTTAAAATTTTTTATAAATAAAATAATTATAGAATTTAATAGAAGTAATTCAATTTTGGAAGTGTTAGAATTGAAAGGTTTTGACTTATTATTTTTAAATAATTGAAATTTTGTAAAATTTAATTGAAAACAATTGAACTTTTTAAAGAATTTGATTACAATTTTTGAAAATATTTAATTGAAAAATTATGGTTTTTGTTGTTGGAAGGAGTTTAGGTGAACTTCGAACAAAATTTATACTGAATAATTTTTTTGCTAAATTTTTTTGAAAAGCTGCTGGACACATAAAGTTTAAAAAAACTAAAAATTTTGTTCTTAAAAAAAAATTAAAAACTGAAATTATTTTAAAGTGCAAGGAATAGAATTTTTTCTTATATTTATTTTTATATGTACCTAATTATTTATTTAATTTCTGTTTATATGTATTTTTTACGTACCCATTTATTTATTTTTATTTTTTTGAGGTTATGTATTAACAACTCAAAGATTGTCATGTTTAATTTGTTCATGTATAGGATATGTAAACATATTGACATTATCCATATCACTAGAAATTTTACTTTAGATTTTAAAT